AGGGAAAGTGTAGATAAGTACAGCTTTCCAGAAGACTTAATAATTTGCTTTTTAAGCCTTATTTATTTGAGTGAGTTCACTTACAATTAATGTATCTAATATGTAGAACACCTCCAAACTGGTTTTGGTATAAACCATACCTCCTCTGTTCCCTTTTTAAAATTTGTCCAATTTCAGTATAAAAACTTGACTCTATCTGGTATGAAGCTACACCAATGTTAAAAGATAATACTGACAATAAACAGGAAATCTTTCTGCTTTAAGACAGTTTACTTCCTACTAACTATATATTTTCTATTTATGTTGCTTATTCTTTATATTTCTTTCAGCTAGAACAATGTAGATCCTATTTCACTAGGATGTTATTGCAATAGTATCTGGTTCTCAAATACTATTTTTTTCATATTTAAGACATAAACCCACCAACAGATACTTCTCTTAAACATCATAAACAAGTTTTATATGTGGTTTTACGTATATATCTGCACAAATGCTCTATGCATCAATGTGATCATCTACCTTCTTGATGAAATTATATAAAAACTACTATTGGATGTGTTCTTAGTAGAAGTTTACAATTTTGAAAAAAAGAAAGTAAAAGCTTAGATTGCATTTGAAACCAAAATACTTTTAGTTGTCATGGTCTAAATAATTTCTTTTGAAACTTGACCCTAGATGCATGTGAACCAAGGCTAAGTTATGTAACAGTCTGCATAACTTACCATTACTTCTTCAGCCTGGCGCACTAGTTTTTCTCTTTTTACTTCTAATTCTGCATTCAGTCGCCTGAAAGAGTAAGAATGCTTGTCACTGAGTTTTTGAGAGATTTCAAAGAAATAAATGTAAGTGTGACAGTATCTCTGCCTGAACTAAGTGAAATTTTAATAAATCCTAAAAAGGAACACTGCAATATACTTCAGGGTATTAAAGTTACATTTCACCAATTTCCTGGGTTTCTGTCAAATCAATAGTAATAAAACACCTATACGCATTAAACAGTAAGGTTTAGACAATAATTCTGAGAAGTAAAGGTTGTCCTTGTATTTGGCCATGTCATTGCTTAATACACATTTTATGTATTTATTTCCTCAACACTTTCTGTTTGTAACACGGTCCTTACCTTAGGTATACTTAGCAGCAGAGGTTGAGGAAGGAGTCATGTATGATTACATTACTTGATCACGTAATTAGAATGCGTCGCTATACATACGTACAGGCTAAATAAACTTGTGTTCTTGCATGCTTCACTTTATAGCTCTTCATGCAACGTGACTAAGTGAGTTTCTAAGACATGGCTCCTTACACATCCTCGCCATTCACAGGGGCTGAGAACTGACAGGTAACTGAGTGCTTTTAAATGTGCTTTCACTGCATTTGTCACAAGCTTTAGAGTTTTTAAGCTTTTTTTAAACAGGTTTAAGCACTTGCGTTACTTTTAAATCCTTAATATATCAGTGTTTTAAATGCAGAAAAATCTAATGTCAACGCTGAGGGGCAGGAGCGAGGCCTAGAGCAGCGCGCAGCCTGCCCTGAGGCGCCTGTGTGAAACGGCGGCAGGAAGGCTGAACTGCGGCGGGAGAGCGAAAACGTTGCTGTGTGGGGCTCAGCCCTACGCTGTGGGGAACCAGCTGAAGGACTAGGAGAGAGGGCGTTAACTGTCAGCGCCGTGAGGCCAGGCAGCAGCGAGCGGGGTACCGCGGAGGTGGCACGGCCTG